CCGTTGCCGCTGCGACTGTCATCGCGAATGCGACTACGACTGCGAAAACAGCAGAATTCTACAACTGGATTCTCATCCGAATCTTAAGGGGAATGCTTCCAGATATGCTCCTACGCAGGGTTCGGTTGCTTTGCGGTGAAATTTTTGCGGTGCGCAGGCCCAGGCGGCAACCAACAGAGGCGGGATGAGGCGGCGGGGCGGGTGAGCGGGCGGGGGCTGGCTGGGGAGGAGAGGAGAGGGGTGATGGTGAGTGAGGGGGGAAGAGAGAGGGGAGTAGGTGGCGGGATGACGAGGGACGAGATGACAGGGAGAGTGGGCGGGGAGATGCGCGGAGGCTCGGGGAAGGGAGTGGGGGAGGAGGCTGGGGTCAGGGGCATCACCGCGGGGGCGGGGCCGGGGAATAAGGGGGCAGGGGGGGGGAGGGGGCTGGGGGGACTAGCGGGGACGGGGCGGGGGGGGAAGGGGTGAAGAAAGGCATGGAGGAGAGGGGCTAGGAAAGGGGACGGCGAGGACGAGGCCTGCTGTGGCAGCAGTCGGCCGCGGCGGGGCCAGCCTTCGAGGCGGTACCGACAGCTGATCACCTGCACCCTGCAGCCGCTGAACCGGCGCGCGATGGAGACGGTGCTGAGCCACACCCATTTCATCGACGGAAATTTTCCGGAGAGAAGGGGGGAACTGGGGAGGGAGCGGTGAAGGGGAGAGGGGGGGGTCTTCATGGTTTATGTACTGTCTTCTTTTTTTACCCCTGCCCCCACCCTTTCTTGAGTGTATGTGCGCAACCTGCCCCCCCACCTCCCTAGTGCAACTCTCTTATATATAGCGCGAGAGCGCGAGCGCGCGAGCGAGAACACAAGCCAGCCGAGCGTGGAGCGAGAGGCACACCCCAACACATCCCGCGGACGCGCACGCGGTACGGCTCATTATACCATTCATAAAATATCCATATATCTAAGTCAACCTAAATAAAATCTATCACACGATATGGGGCGAGCATGAGGGGGTTGGGGGTTGTGGTGGTTTTGGGGGGGGGGGGGGGGGGGCGAACAGGGAGGGGGTGGTGGGCACGGGCAGGACCGTGCGTGCCTTGTTTCGCGTACTTGCGCGCCACGGGGGGTCTAACGTTTTTGCACCCGAGGGCGGGGGAGAGAAGGGCGGGGAAGGTCGGGGAAGGTGTGAGGGGGAGGGGCGAGGTGGACGGGAAGGGGTAGGCGAGGGAGGAGGAGGAGGAGGAGGAGGTGGAGGAGGAGGAGGAATAGGAGGAGGGGGAATACCTGGACGGGATGGAGGACCATAGGATGCGGAAGAGAGGAGGAGTGGGAGGAGAAAGAGGACCAGCGGGAAGAGAGGAGTGCGGGAGCTTTGGATCGGGTCGCTCGTGTAGCGCATCATCGTTTCATCGGAAGCGTCAGATCCGACCTACAGGTTTCGATAATCATCGCCACCATCTAGTTGGTCCCCACTCTCTCTCTCCCTCTCTCTCTCTCTCTCTCCTTCCTCGTCGTCCTCCATCCTCCGCCACGCTCCACCTCCGCCTCCTCCTCCATCCCTCCTCCTCCTCCTCCTCCTCCTCCTCCTCCTCCTCCTCCTCCTCCTCCTCCTCCGCCCCCCTAGGGAAAGACCGAGAGCAACGTCTTACCTGACGGCAGTCTTACCGAGAGCAACGTCTTACCTACCTGGAGAGCAACGTCTTACCTTCCGCCCCCTGTGTGGCTATTCCCAGGGGGGGTAGTTCTGCGTCCTGGATCCGCTCCTGGTGGCCCCAGGGCCCGACGAAGTGCCCCCTCCTCCTCCTCTTCCTCCTCCTCTTCCTCGTCTTTTTCTTTCGCTGTTTCATATTATTTGTCTTATTTGTCTTCTTCTTCTTCTTCTTCCTCCTCCTCCTCCTTCTCCCCTCCTCCTCTTCCTCCTCCTCCTCCTCCTCCTCCTCCTCCTCCTCACCCCGGAGGCCAAACTCAAGAGAAGATGCCCAGAGTGACGAGATCTGGGCAGAGAGCAGCATCTTTACTGACGGCAGTTGTATGCCGCCTTCCAGCGGCGGCGACGCCAGGAAGCGGGTATTTCATGTGAAGTGCCCTCCCCCACAGAGAATATCCCCCTCACATATTGCCGCCCTGACGCCTATCCCTATTACTCCGATTCGCATCATCCTACCTGGGTGCCGATCTCAAGGATTCGCCCAGTTTCTGAGTGCATATTCCTCAGGTTGTCATCGCCTTGGTCTCGACAACCTCAGGGGTAGGGATGAGCTCGAGGCTGGTTGACGAACGGCGCGAGGTCCATGCGGCAGGTGGGGTCGAGAGCCACTGGGGACCTCCGTGGAAAGCATCGCCCAAGGTTGAGGGGCTGACGTGGCGTGGGAGATGGGGGGCCCACGCCGTCGAGGCCCAACCCTGCAGCAGCATCTCCTTCTCCTCTTCCATCTCCTCCTCCTCCTCATCCTCCTCCATCTCCTCCTCCTCCTCCTCTTCCATCTCCTCCTCCTCCTCCTCTTCCTCTTCCGTCTCCTCCTCCTCCTCTTCCATCTCCTCTTCCTCCTCCTCCTCCTCCACATCCTCCTCTGTCCGTTCTCCTTATACATAACTTCTCCCTGTCGCACCCCGAGGCAAGTTTTAGGGCGGGTCGGACTTTTCGCCTGAGACTTTCTCACCATGTATGATTCTGAAGCTTCAGAAGTTGGCAGCAGTTTCACAAATGGATGGCGGGTCGTTTTCAAAATGTGGCTCTCGCCTTAGCGCCGCGCACATTCGTTGTTAAAACATTGCAAGAGCTTCACGGATTGAGGGCGAGTGGTTTTCAACATGTGGCTCTCGTCTTAGCGCCGCGCACATTTGTTTGAACACATTGCGAGAGTTTCACGGATTCCCGGGATCAATTTCCCAGAACTTGTGTTTTGTGAAGGATTCAGGTTTATGAGAGTGCACGAGTTATGTTGATTCGCGGTGTTCATGTGTCCCAGGAATGGCGCCTTGTTACGATGCAGGATCGTCATGACGCAAGAGTCAGGTTGATCCGTGGCGTTGGAACCCCGAGAACAATGTTTTGGCATGCTTGAGGGTCTTCAAACAGTTGCCTTCCAACGAGGCAGTTCCCTCAGTAAGAAAGAAATGTTGTAGGGGCCTATGAAGAGGGAGCTTGGAGGGAGGGTTTATTTAATCGCTTCGCTCATTCCGCCGGCCCATATTGTCGCACCGTTGTGGGCTAGCCGAGTTTTGGGGCCTCTTGGGGGCCGTTTTGGGGCCTCTTGGGGCCTCTTTTGGGCCTCTGGGGCGCCTCTTGGGGCGTCTTGGGGGCCTCTTGGGGGCCTCTTGGGGCCTTTTTGGGGCCTCCTGGGCGCCTTTTGGGGCGGAGGGCTCGATTTTTCAGTTCTCGGGTCCCCTCTTGAGCCCCTCTTGGGCCCGTCTTGGGGCCACTTGGTCCGTCTTGGGCGGCACTTGGGCCGTCTTGGGGGCCCTCCTGGGCCGTTCCGGGGCCTTCTTGGGAGCCTCGATGGCCGTCTTGGAGCGGTCTTGGGAGCCTCTTGGGCCGTTTTGGAGCGTCCGGAAGCCGAAAAGGCGACCGACCCACCCCACACATCGCAACCAACACCCTGAAACTCCACGCTACGTTGGGCCTCTTGGGGCTCTCTTCGGAGGCCTCTAGAAGCTTTCTTGTGGGTCTTGGAGGCCTCATGGGGCCTTTTGGCCGTTCTTGGGGTCATCTTCGGCGTTCTTCAGAGCGCTCTTTGGGCGTCTCGGGGGCCTCTTGGGCAGTTCTTGGGGGCCTCTTGGGGCACTCTGAGCGGCTCTTGGGGGCTCCTGAGAGGCCCGCACCCAGTAAGGAAACACCATTCTGCGACGACTTGGGTCGGGCGGCGGTCGGGCGGCGGTCGGGCGTTGGTCGGGGTACTTTTCGCTGGGGGACCCCCAGGGGCCGCCCCGCGCGCGCGAACTAGAAATACTGTTAATACTGTTAACCAGTTACCAGAGATCTTAGCACGCCCTGGCCCGTTGGGCCGGCGAATTCCAGCATCGTTGATGCCTCTTTGGTTTACACTGGTCCTCCTCCTCCTCTTCCATCTCCTCCTCCTTCTCCTCCTCCCGTCATCACCGCGGTCATCGCCACCGGCGTCGCACGCGATATCACAATCGTCGTCGCGTTGCCCTCCCCGCCTGGACGCCGCCCCCCCCCGCCGCAGAGCGGGCACGACTGTCACGCCGTCCCTCGCGGAGAAGATTGGCTGTGCCCCCCTTCCGCCGTCCGTCGAGCCTTGCGTCCTGCAGGGCGCGTCGGCACGACAGCCACTCTGGGTCATCGGAAGGGAAGCAGTCTTCGGGTGCATGCGACGCAACCCAGAGGGGAGGGAGGCGAGGAGGAGGGAAGGAGGCAGGCGAGGACGAGGAAGGTGCACAATGAATCGCCCGCCGCTGATGCGGCTGGTCAAAATGTTGTTCACCGTGTCGCGCCGCCGGGTCTGGCCCACCACGCTTCGGCGCGAAGCGCTATCCACGTTCGGGTCCTCCAGCATCAACGCCCCGAGCCCTTCCCATCCTCCCGCCCCGCAGAGCGGAGCGACACGCTACCAGCTCGCAGAGCATAGCGTTTCGCAACGACACGTTCAGCAAACGTTCCCGACCGTACAATTCGGTGCGCTCGCTCGGCATCTTAAGCGTCAGCATTGCCATGATCACCATGATCACCATGATCGTGTCAGTCTCAAGCAGTGCCGCTAAGGAGAGGATCCAGGTGATCGTTTTTTGATTCATTGTTTTGCCGATCGGCGCGGGCTTTCGCACCTCCCCTTCCCCCCCCTCTGGAGTGGAACTTCGCTGTTTTTGGCGCCTGTTTGGAGCAGGTGGCGCCTGTCCCCACAGAGGACGCACAGTTCCAAACATGCGCATTAAGCAGAGGTCCGGAGCCAGACCCCCCCCCCTTCCCCTTCCATCCTTCCGCCCAATGTCGAAACGCCGAATAAAAAAACGCTCACCAGAGACGCATGCGCCCAAGGTGCTGAGCTCGGCCGCATGGCGCTGCCACGGCGCCGCCTGCGGGCCCTTGGCCAGCACATATCCGCTGCCCAGTGCGCCGCCCAGGAGCCGCCGTTCGGCCGCCTCCTCGTCGCCAATCGCGGCGAGATTGCCTGCCGCATCCACCGGGCTGCGAAGGCACTGGGAATCGAGACGGTGGGCGTGTACACGCAGGATCGGCTGTGGGTAAGAGTTGAGAGGGGGAGGGGGAGGGGCAGGAGGAGGAGGAGGAGGAGGAGGAGGAGGAGGAGGAGGGGGGGGAGGAGGGGGAGGAGGAGGGGGAGGAGGAGGACCTCCCCATCCTCCCTTTGCCCCGTCCTACCTATGCCCATCAACCCATCAAGAGCGGCCCTCCGCCGGAGTAACCTGTGGGGCCATGCCTTCTTGGGGGGGCGTTGGAGGGGGGGAGGGGGCAAGCCCTGGCCCGCAGGCTGCTGCCATTGCACCGCGCGCACCGATCGGCAGGCCGCGCACCAAAGCATCGAGAATAAGAGAATCCCTAACCCGAATAGCACAGTAAAGACGTGGCCTCTCTTAGATAGATCCCCGTCTCTGCAGTAGGGATCGTCGATCTGGGCGGTTTGGTTCGAGACATCTGCAGAAAAAACGCTCTATCCCTAATGTTTTTGGCCCTCCTAACTTAGGTCCCTTCCCCAAGGGTTAGGGGTCCTTTCACTGTTAACCACCAACGGCCACTCATGCGTAGGGGTCGCTCTTGCGCACAGCTGAACAGGAGGACGCCGAGTCCCTCCATCGGCACACCGTCGACAGGGCTGTCGCGCTGCCGGCGGGGGCCACCCCCGTGGCCCCGTACCTCGACGCGGAGGCCATCGCCGAGCTGGCCGTCCGGGAGGGCTGCACCGCGGTGCATCCTGGGTACGGCTTCCTCTCCGAGAACGAGCACTTCGCCGGCCTCTGCGGGGAGAGGGGCGTCGCCTTCGTTGGGCCGAGGCCCGAGACGATCGCGCTCTTCGGGGACAAGACCAGGGCCAAGGCCGGCGGCGCGCAGATGCGCGTGGTGGTGGTGGTGGGTGGGGGCGTGTGTGTGTGTGTGTGTGTGTGTGTGTGTGTGTCTGTGTGTGTGTGTGTGTGCGAGCTTGCGTGCGTGCGTGCGTGCGTGCGTGTGTGTGTGTGTGTGTGTGTGTGTGTGTGTGTGCGTGCGTGTGCGAGAGAGAGAGAGCGCGCGCGTCTGTTTGTGTGCTTATACGTGTGCGTGTGTGAGAGTGTGCGTGCGTGCGTGCGTGCGTGCGTGCGTGCGTGCGTGCGTGCGTGCGTGCGTGTGTGTGTGTGTGTGTGTTTGTGTGTGTATCAAATTACGAGCTCGAGTGGCTCCCGCTCTATCCGCGCGCGACGCACATTGCATTTTTGTGTGTACACACATATATATACACGTCGGTCGTTGAAAGTATATTTTTTTGATTCACATATCCCAATCTACTTTAAGCGCCTTCCTACTTCAAGAACTGATATTTTTAGTTTTTTTGGGGCGGGCGCAAATCTAACATACTTCTTTGGTTGTTTTCATTGTTTTGTTCGTTGTTGTTGTTGTTGTTGTTGCTGCTGATTGTCTTTGTTTATTGTTCGTTTTTTTTTTATAAAAAAATATAAAAAAGAAACAAAAAAAGTTTTGTTGGTTGTTGGTTGTTCGTTTTTTTTATTTTTTGCGTTGTTCCTTCGGCCTGGTTGTTTGGTTTCGCTATTTTCTGTTATTTTCTGTTGCCCGTCGGTGGCTCTGGTCGCGCCTGGCCCCTCGGCTGCTTCATCGGTCGCTCTGCCCTCGGCCCAGCCACTCCTTGGTTGTTGTTTGCTTGTTTTCGCTATGTTCTGTTATTTTCTGTTGCCCGTCGGTGGCTCTGGTCGCGCCTGGCCCCTCGGCTGCTTCATCGGTCGCTCTGCCCTCGGCCCAGCCACTTTTTGGCTGTTTCTTTTAGTTTGTTGTTTTGGATCTTGTTTCTGTTTATCGTGTTTTTGTTGCCCGTCGGTCGGCTCTGGTCGCGCTGGCCCCTTGCTGCATTCAGCCGGTCGCTCTGTCCTCGGCCCAGCCACTCCTTGGCTTTTTTATATAATAAATTTTTCTGTATGTTTCTGTTGCCCGTCGGTGCTCTGGGTCGCGCCTGGCCCCAGTCGCTCGCTTCAATCGGTCGCTCTGCCTCGGGCCCCAGCCACTCCGTGCTGTGTTTGGCTGTTTTTGGGTTATTTTTTCTGTTTACTTCTGTTGCCCGTCGGTGGCTCTGATCGCGCCTGGCCCCTCGGCTGCTTCATCGGTCGCTCTGCCCTCGGCCCAGCCACTCCTTGGTTGGTTTTGGCTGTTTTGTGCTATGGTTTATTTTCTGTTGCCCGTCGGTTGCTCTGGTCGCGCCTGGCCCCTCGGCTGCCTCATCGGTCGCTCTGCCCTCGGCCCAGCCGATCCTTGGTTGTTTTTTTGGTTGTGTTGTATTTTTATCTGATTTTTTTTGTTTCTCGTCGGCGGCTCTGGTCGCGCCTGGCCCCTCGGCTGCCTCATCGGTCGCTCTGCCCTCGGCCCAGCCAGTACTTTGTTGTTTTTAGCTGGTTTGTGTTATTGTCTGTTATTTTCTGCTGCCCGTCGGTGGCTCTGGTCGCGCCTGCCCCTTCGGTTGCCTCATCGGTCGCTCTGCCCTCGGCCAAGCCATTCATTTTTTGTTTCATGGCTTTGGTTGTTTTTGGCTGTTTTTTCGCTAGTTTCTGTTATTTTCTGTTGCCCGTCGGTGGCTCTGGTCGCGCCTGGCCCCTCGGCTGCTTCATCGGTCGCTCTGTCCTCGGCCCAGCCACTCCTTGGCTGTTTTTGGCTGTGTCTCACCATTTTCTTGTATTTTCTGTTGCCCGTCGGTGGCTCTGGTCGTGCCTGGCCCCTCGGCTGCCTCATCGGTCTTTCTGCCCTCGGCCCAGCCACTCCTTGGTTGTTTTTGGCTGTTTTCGCTATGTTCTATTAGGTTATGTTGCCCGTCGGTGGCTCTGGTCGCGCCTGGCTCCCTCGGCTGCTTCATCGGTCGCTCTGTCCTCGGCCCAGCCACTCCTTGGCCCCTTGGCTGTTTGTGGCTGTGTTTCGCTATTTTCTGTTATGTGCTGTTGCCCGTCGGTGGCTCTGGTCGCGCCTGGCCTTTCGGCTGCCTCATCGGTCGCTCTGCCCTCGGCCCAGCCACTCCTTGGTTGTTTTGGCATGTTTTCGGTATTTTCTGTTATGTTCTGTTGCCCGTCGGTGGCTCTGGTCGCGCCTGGCCCCTCGGCTGCCTCATCGGTCGCCCTGCCCTCGGCCCAGCCACTCCTTGGTTGGTTTTTGCTGTTGTGTGTTATTTTCCGTTATGTTCTGTTGCCCGTCGGTGGCTTTGGTCGCGTTTGGCCCCTCGGCTGCTTCATCGGTCGCTCTGCCCTCGGCCCAGCCACTCATTAGCTGTTTTTGGCTGTTTTGCGCTATGTTCTGTTATGTGCTGTTGCCCGTCGGTGGCTCTGGTCGCGCCTGGCCCTCGGCTGCCGCATCGGTCGCTCTGCCTTCGGCCCAGCCACTCATTGGTTGTGTTTGGTTGTTTTGCGTTATTTTATGTTGCCCGTCGTTGGCTATGGTCGCGCCTGGCCCCTCGGCTGCCTCATCGGTCGCTCTGCCCTCGGCCCAGCTACTCCTTGGTTGTGTTTAGCCGTGGCGTGCTAGTTTGTATTATTTTCTGTTGCCCGTCGGTTGCCCTGGTCGCGCCTGGCCCCTCGGCTGCCTCATCGGTCGCTCTGCCCTCGGCCCAGCCACTCCTTGGTTGTTTTTTTTGGTTGTTTTGTATGTTTTTTCTGATATGTTGTGTTTCTCGTCGGCGGCTCTGGTCGCGCCTGGCCCCTCGGCTGCCTCATCGGTCGCTCTGCCCTCGGCCCAGCCAGTACTTTGTTGTGTTTAGTTGTTTTGTGTTGTTTTCTGTTATTTCCTGTCGCCCGTTGGTGGCTCTGGTCGCGCCTGGCCCCCTCGGCTGCCTCTTCGGTCGCTCTGCCCTCGGCCCAGCCACTCCTTGGCTGTGTTTTGTTGTTGTTCTGTGTTAGTTTCTGTTATTTCCTGTTGCCCGTCGGTGGCTCTGGTCGCGCCTGGCCCCTCGGCTGCATCATCGGTCGCTCTGCCCTCGGCCCAGCCACGCCTTGGTTGTTTTTGGTTGTTTTGTGTCATGTTCTGTTATTGTTTGTTGCCCGTCGGTGGCTCTGGTCGCGCCTGGCCTCTCGGCTGCCTCATCGGTCGCCCTGCCCTCGGCCCAGCCACTCCTTGGTTGTGTTTGGTTGTTTTGTGTTGTTTTCTGTTTTTTCCTGTCGCCCGTCGGTGGCTCTGGTCGCGCCTAGCCCCTCGGCTGCCTCATCGGTCGCCCTGCCCTCGGCCCAGCCACTCCTCGGTTGTTTTTGGTTGTTTTGTGTTGTTTTCGGTTATTTTCTGTTGCCCGTCGGTGGCTCTGGTCGCGCCTGGCCCCTCGGCTGCCTCGTAGTCGCTCTGCCCTCGGCCCAGCCACGCCTTGGTTGTTTCTGGTTGTTGTGTGTTATGTTCTGTTATTTTCTGTTTCCCCGTGGGTAGCTCTGGTCGCGCCTGGCCCCTCGGCTGCCTCATCGGTTGCTCTGTCCTCGGCCCAGCCACTCCTTGGTTTTTTCTGGCTGTTGTGTGCTATTTTCTGTTATTTTCTGTTTCCCCGTGGGTAGCTCTGGTCGCGCCTGGCCCCTCGGCGGCTGCCTCATCGGTCGCTCTGCCCTCGACCCAGCCATTACTTTGTTGTTTTTTATTGTTTTCCATTTGTTTTGGTATTTTCTGTTGCCCGTCGGTGGCCCTGGTCGCGCCTGGCCCCTCGGCTGCCTCACCAGTCGCTCTGCCCTCGGCCCAGCCACTCCTTGGTTGTTTTTGGCTGTTTTGCGCTATTGTCTGTTATTTTCTGTTGCCCGTCGGTGGCTCTGGTCGCGCCTGGCCCCTCGGCTGCTTCATCGGACGCCCTGCCCTCGGCCCAGCCACTCCTTGGCTGTTTTTGGCTGGTTTGTGCTATGTTCCGTTATTTTCTGTTGCCCGTCGGTGGTTCTCGTCGCGCCTGGCCCCTCGGCTGCCTCTTCGGTCGCTCTGCCCTCGGCCCAGCCACTTCATGGTTGTGTTTGGTTGTTTTTTTTGTTGCTATTTTATGTTATGTTCTGTTGCCCGTCGGTTGCTCTGGTCGCGCCTGGCCCCTCGGCTGCTTCATCGGTCGCTCTGCCCTCGGCCCAGCCACTCCTTGGTTGGTTTTGGCTGGTTTTTTCGCTATTTTCTGTTATGTTTTGCTGCCCGTCGGTGGCTTTGGTCGCGCCTGGCCCCCTCGGCTGCCTCATCGGTCGCTCTGCCCTCGGCCCAGCCACTCCTTGGTTGTTTTTTTTGGTTGTTTGTTATTTTTTGTTGCCCGTCGGTGGCTCTGATCGCGCCTGGCCCCTCGGCTGCCTCAACGGTCGCTCTGTCCTCGGCCCAGCCACTCCTTGGTTGTTTCGGTTTTTTGTTGTTGTTGCTATTTTATGTTATGTTCTGTTGTCCGTCGGTGGCTCTGGTCGCGCCTGGCCCCTCGGCTGCCTCTTCGGTCGCTCTGCCCTCGGCCCAGCCACTCCTTGGCTGTTTTTGGCTGTTTTTCGCTAGTTTCTGTTATTTTCTGTTGCCCGTCGGTTGCTCTGGTCGCGCCTGGCCCCTCGGCTGCCTCTTCGGTCACTCTGCCCTCGGCCCAGCCACTTCATGGTTGTGTTTGGCTGTTCTTCGTTATTTTCTGTTGCCCGTCGGCCCGGCCACTCCTTAGCTGTTTTTCGCTATTTTCAGTTTTTTTCTGTTGCCAGTCCGTGGCTCTGGTCGCGCCTGGCCACTCGGCTGCCTCTTCGGTCGCTCTGCCCTCGGCCCAGCCACTCCTCGGCTGTTTTTGGTGTTTTTCGTTATTTTCTGTTGCCCGTCGGCCCTGCCATTCCTTGGCTGCTTTAGCTGTTTTTCGTTATTTTCTGTTGCCCGTCGGTGGCTCTGGTCGCGCCTGG